AAATCCAACAATTCCAAATGGTATTCAGTGATTTGGAATAATAATTATTTCCGAAAATCTAAAATGAAATTCCAAAACAAGAATGATATTCCTAGTAAAAGTTGATCGATTTGAACTTGACGATGCAAAAAAGAAAATTTTTTTTAATCTTTAATGAATAAAATTAACAGTTAAAGAGAAAGTTCTAAAAGATTTTAAGAGTTCTAAAAGAAAGTTCTAAAAAACAGCCATTACCAGCTTGAACAGCGATCAAAGAGCACGAACAAATGCCAATAACAGTGCATAGCGCTTGTCGCATTTCCTGAAATAAGAAAAAACTTTTAAAAGTTGTCATCAAACTTTCAAAAATAACAATGAACGAGCAAAACTGTACAAATGTAATTTATCAAATTGAATTTGTTAAGGCCTTTTTTTTTTACCAGCTACTAGGTCAATAACATTCACGGAAAACATCAACAACAGGGAGTAATAATTAGTAAAAAAGAAAATTAGAGATAGTACGGTGTATTTATGTTTGAACATGATAAATTCAATTTCATTCAATAATAGAACTGAGAAAAAGATTGGCCGTATGAAATTTAAAATTTTGTAATTTAAAAAAATTTTGTAAAGATTTGTAAATTTTTGAAAACAAAATTTGAGAATAGTGAAAAAAAAAAATATTCCAAACAGTACAATTCATCTCAAAATTAAAAAAAAAAAATACTCATTGAATCACTTATGAAAATATTTCACTATTAGGCATAGATTTATTTAAAAAAAGGACAAATAATTAAAGTAATTTAATAAATTCATAAAAAAATATGTGACAATGTTAGAAAGAAGAAATGTATTAGAATGGGAAAAGTAGGGAATAAAAATAAGCTCCATTTTGAGCTTTTTTTTTTTTTTTTTTTTTTTTGGAATGCTGCAGCATTTGATGATAAATGTTTGTCCATTACATGACAAATATTTCAACCATTGCTGTAAAAGGAAGCAAACACGGATGAATGCTAATAAGCGATCGCAAAATTCGACTAAATTTGAAAATTTTTTCTTTCTCTCTCTCTCTCTCTTAAAAATCGAACTAATTTACTTATTCCCGATCATCCCTTTTTCACTAAATTACTAATTCTCAATTCTTTTTTTTTTCACTAATTTACTAATTCCCATTTTTTTCCCTGACCTAAGTTACAAACAAATCCTCGATCATTTTTTTTTCCACTAAGTTAGTAATTCTCGATCATTCCTTTATTATTTCCCATTCTACCAAGTCAACTAAGTCATTCGTTCATTCTCATTCCTATCTTCTACTACTACTATTAATATCTTCATCAATAAAAGTGACATTTTCTTCCAATCAAATGAATCTTTTCTCTTTATTTTTTCTTTCCCTCTCTCCTTAATCTCTCTGAAATTGTTGTATTTGTGAAAAACACACAGGTGAAACGATTGCACATATGCGTCCCAATCATTTGGACTTTTCTATTTGCAGCATTTCTGGCTCTTCCTTATTTTAGTATTTATTAGTTTTACATAATCAAGCTAAAACAGAGAGAGGGAGAGAGAGGGAGGGAATTAAAGAGAGTGAAAATACGAAAATTTGAAGATTAATTTTAAAAATTAATTTCGAAAAAAAAGAAAAATTCGAAAAAGAAAGCAAAGCGAAAATTTTCTACATTTTAACTAATTTTCAATTATTGGGCCTATTTTCACAAAATCTCTGCCAAAAAAGATTGCATTGGAAGCAGTAAATCCTGTTAATATTCAATTGGAACAATTAGGTCACCTGAAGACTAAGCACAGAAATGTATGTTGGATATTTCTTTAATTAATCCTTCATTTTTCCTTTACTTTGTAAATTTATTTACAAAAGTTACACCATTCAACAAATTATCAATATCATATAGTTTACCTGAAATAGAAAAATTAATTATGCAAGAAAGATGTGAAAAGAATTAGTGTATTTTGCAGGTGAATAAATAACGATGACGAACAGATTGCTAAGTTTTATTTATAAATTGAGTAAGACAAGAAAGTTAATTTCTTAATTTTGGAAAAAGTTCATTTTATTCCACAAATTTAATTCTTATAAAATTTTTCAAAAAAAAAAACAAAAAGTTACTGAAATCATGTTGAATATATCTGTTAAGTTCTGTTAAAATCACAGTATTTAATCAATTATTGATCGAAATTTTACATTTTATGAATTTTCATTTTTCAACAAATAGTCACGGTGATATTATGATCCATTTCTTCGAAAAATTTATCACTGTGTTAAGCTTGAAAAGCTGGAATTATTCATTATCATTTCAGGTGTTATCACTTTTAAAATGTAAATGGGATGAAATTAAATTTATTTTTCTGCAATTAATCTACCTGAATTTGATCTTCACCAAAAATGCATTATTATCTTCCCAATGTTTTTCTTCTGCCTCATGCCGTCATGCCGAAAAAACCAATAAGTTTTGACACCAGTCAGGCGCAAATTTAGCTCGCATTTTTTTAAGATGACAATTATCAACTTAATTAATATTGCCGGATATTCATAAATTTTACGGTAAATAATCTAAGATATCACAGGAATAGCTAAATGAGAAGCACTAGCACTAATTGAATCTAATAGTAAACGAAAAAAAAAGTGTGAAGAAATAAGTGAATTAGCAGAAATCAAAGACTGGAAAAAAAAAGGACGACAACATGATGACCTTCTGGTTCCTTTAACAATCAACATTGAAGAACATTTTTTGAGTGGAATGAATGATATGTAAATGTATTTCTTCCCATCAATTGCAGCATATATTATCTCATTTTAAAAGTTTTTTTTAAAGAATTTCATCATAATGGGAGCCTGTTTTATCACAATGGGAAAAATAACAAATTAAACATAGATTGATAATCAAATTTTAAAATGTGATATACAATTCAATGCCTTTGCAATTCTGCCCTTTAACCTTTCTTAACTTTCTTACAAAAGGCTAATTCAAATTTGTCATTTTCTTCATGGAAAGTTTATTTAAATTAGCAAACAAAGTAGTAAAATTGTTAAAAAAAATTTTGAAATTGTGGAAATTAGCAAATTTACTTTAATGCATTGGTAGAATTGAATAATTATGGCAGTGTGATTTCTTAGAAAAGGAAATTTTGGCAGGAATCCTTAAATGTCACTTTATTCCAAAGTCCTATTATTTGTTTTAATTAATTATGGTCAAATCTTCAATACTTAAAGCTTATATTTGATTCATCTCCCAAAAATATAAAAAAAAAAAAGAAGCAAGCCGAATAACACAAAAATTAGGTTTATGTTTAAGAAAGGATTTTCAAAATAGGGAGTATTTACATAGACCTAAATGAAAGAAGCA